TATTATTATTATTATTATTATTATTATTATTATTATTATTATTATTATTATTATTATTATTATTATTATCATCAGCATCAGCATCAGCATCAGCATTGATGCCTCTGTTATTATTACTAAGTTGATGCTTTCAAAAGATAGTTGGAAACCAAATTCTAGGAGCGACTAGGTTTCTTCACGCCCGATTCAAGTCACTGATCTGGATTCCCGACTCGGGATCTAGTCAGCCGCGCGTTTATCTTGCCTGCATCCCGCGTAAAAGACGGAAACGGTGGATGCGCCCGCCTCCCAATAAATAAGCGCGTCGCGGTAAGAAATAATTACCTCTGCTCGCTGCTTTTAATTAAAGTCTCCCAGGGAAACTGCTGGATTATGGTAATGAGCCGACATACGTTCCCTCTTGTCGGGCTCCCGTGAAAAGGTTAGCTGGCATCAAATCAGCGACACTGACAAGGCGCTGGAAATCCATTTGTAAGCCCGAACCCGTCCGCCACCAGCCCCGCATGGGCGGGAAGGAAGGGGAAAGGAAGGGAAGGTAAAAGAAAGGAAGGGAAGAAGGAAGGAAAAGAAGAAGGAAGGAGGGGAAGAAGGAAGGCAGGAACGAAGGAAGGGAGGAAGGGAAGAAAGAAGGAAGGAAGGAAGGAAGGAAGGAAGGAAGGAAGGAAGGAAGGAAGGAAGGAAGGGACAGGCCGGGCGGGGTCAGAGGGGGTGTGTGGGGAACCCTCGAGACTTCGCCAAACGCAAAGCCCGGAACGAAGCGCCGGAGCTGGAGGAGCGAAGGAGATTTTCCCCAGAAGTTCCGAGCTTGCAATAAGGCAGATAGGAATAGAGAAGCCATCCTTCTGCTCCTCCGCACTGAATTTCCCCCCAAGGAGGGGACGGGGCGGGGAGTAAATCCCGAGAGGTTTCCTTTGGCCCTCGCACCACTTTCTTGGCTCCCGGCGCAACATTGTTCAGAAATTCTCGTTTTCTTCCTTCACTCCTTTCTGTAAGGTTGAATTTCTTCTTCTTCTTCTTCTTCTTCTTCTTCTTCTTCTTCTTCTTCTTCTTCTTCTTCTTCTTCTTCTTCTTCTTCTTCTTCTTCTTCTTC